TTATAATACAAGAGATGGAAAGCTCAGAAGTCCAACTATGGTTAGAGAATACTCAGGATGGACCTGGATTTACAATGTGCACATCACACGTCAACATTTTGAGCTAGCAAAGGTTGCAGGGGCAAGACGAGGAAAAGGTTACTGAACCGGAAAGTCCTTTCGAAAACTACGAGAACAAGATGGCGAACCCTAGCTAAGCTGGAGACCATTATTGACGAAACAAGCTGATAAACTTCGGATGGAGGGCTCCAATGGTGCTTTCATTAGGAACAAGCTCGGCAGAGAGTGAAAGTCGGAGATGCAGTCCTTCGAGACCTTTTTTTGGGGCAAGTAGCTCGTCACTTGCACAATTTAGCCAAAGAAGCCAGAACGGTTCGACAGGATATTCAACCGGTGACAGAAAAAAGACGGAAGACGAATTAACTTGTCAGGGGTTGTTCGGGATCTATACCATCAAAATGTTTTTTTTCCCTTAAGACATAACACTTTTGTCCCCAACAAGGATTATTTATAATAACAGACACATTTTTGGATCAATTCCTCGAACATTGCACACATTATGCAATTAAACATATTTTGTATTTTTGTTATTTTCATTTCTTTACATTTGCATTAACTACCTTCACATGTCTCATAAAAAATGGGAACATTTCGACCCTATTCCCGTGACCTACCACGTAGTGTCACCATATCTAGTGGAATCCATGAAGCCCCCATACCCCAAGTGGTATGATGAGAGTGCCCATTGTGAATATCATGGCAGTGTCCCAGGGAATACTATTGAGAACTGTTACGCATTCAAGAGAATCGTGCAGAAGATGCGTAACTAGAATTAAATCGACTTCAACAACTCAGGGGCATCCAAATAAGGAAGAAGATCATTTCATCATTTGTAGTATTTAGTTTGAATTTGTTTTTCTTCTTTTCTCAGTTCTTTTTTTTAAAAAAAAATAAGATTTATATGAATTTATGTTACTTTAAAGATGGTGAGCAATGAATCAAATTTGTAAACTTGAAATTCTTTGAATATCAAATGAATTAAAAAAAAACTCTGTAAGTGATCGAAGTTACAGATCTTTGATAAAGTGACATAATCAAATAATGACCCTTGATTTGACCCCAGAAGATACACTCGAACATCGTACCCTTCTCTTGCAAATAAACAATATAGCCTTCTCACTTAATAAGGCTTGGTATTTAGATGTGCACAGGTGCGGACTACATGGGGCATCCTTTTGCATATGACATTACTATACTTTTTGTTTAAGACGTTCAGTGATGATAATAATCTTTACAGATGGAATAGTCGAGTAGGTGAATCTAGTTTAGGTCAATTTCTTGGAATTTGAACTCTAAAGATGAGATTCCTTGACTTTCAACAACGCCTACACTATAACAGGTTATTCTTAACAAACTTAAGAAATCAGACCCGTATACCCATATTATAATATTATATATATATATATATATATATATATATATATATATATATATATATATATATATACAATAAAGCTTGAGCTTTCCCTCTAAAGCAATTGGTTAAACGCCCCGCCTCTATGGATAAGATTCAGCTATCCTGATAAAGGCGATTATAATATACAATAAAGCTTGAGTTGTCCCTCTAGAGCAATTAGTTAAGCGCCCCGACTTTATGGATGATATTCAGCTAGCCTGATAAAGGTGATTATAATATCTATATAATGATATTAAGTTGTCCCTCTAGAGCAATTGGTTAAACGCCTCGGCTTTATGGATTCAGCTAGCCAGACAATGGCAAATTTAAATAAGGAGTTTCGGTAAAGATGAACTAAGGGAGTTAAGGAACACCTGTTATAGTCAATCTCACACGAGCACTCAGGAATTTCATTTTTAGATCGATATTTCTGCACTGACTTTGTTAGAGGAGCCTACAAAGCTTGAACAAATGGAAGATTTTAGAGGACCCGAATTTGCTACATGTGTGGAGAAAAGGAACCACTGTTTCGAGTGGCTCGTACGCGGAGTGCTCGGGCGAACCGATCACCAACGTTGATGATGTGGATGGCTTGGTTGCCGGATCTGGGACCACCTGTTGTTCATAACTCGCGCAACTCACACAAGTTGAGGAAGGGAGAAGGCAAAAGCACTCACGTGTAAAATGAATGGGGATGCACATATTTGGTTTTGTGGATTTTTATGGGTAAATTACACCCAAAACCACTAATGTTTATAGATTTCAACTTTCAGTCTATAAACTTTACCCTGAATTTAATCTAGCTCCTAATTATTTTTATGATTTGATCTAATATTTTTATTTAATTATTATTATATTTTCATTAACATTTTTGTCTTTTCGTAGGTTTTTTATTTCATTTATTTTATCACTTTTAAAATATTAATTTTTTTCCTTTGATTTATTTAATATTTATTTCTTATTTAATATTTATTTATTATTTATTATTTAATATTTTTTACTTTTTAGGGGATTTTTTAATCGATCAAAGTTAATTAATTCGAATTGAATTTCAAATTTCAATTTCAATTTTTTCACAGCTAAGACAACCGACAAATTAATTGGTACCGAAAGGGCAGTTCAAGGGTGCTAATCATTTCTTGACTGTAACCGACTCTTGAGCCTGACATATTTCTGGTAAAACGCAGATCAAGTAAGATGATATCCGATCTACGTAAATATTTTTTTAAATGATTGGTGACGACTCTAACTCATTATTTCAAGTCGAAGCTCAATTCCGGGTCCAACCAAAAGACGGATGTGACAAAGTGTAAAAGGAAAATATACCACGTGTCACTATGTGATTGGAGGATGAATTTAATTGAATTAATATTTTATTTAAATAAAATTTCTTTCCAATCAGGTGGTGACATGCATAAAAGAAAAATATATTAGAAGAGGAGAGAGTTTGAGGGTTTGAACCATCGCTTCCCATATCTCAAATCCTATCATAGATTCTAGCGTCGTATGCTTTCTACTTAGGTCTCTGTATTTACAAAATATGTCGCATGTTCTCTGTTACTATTACGATTTCTATAATGCAGGACATATCTACATTGTATCTAGATTTGAGTCGCACAGGGGGAAGATTATGCTTCATCTTGAGCAGATAGGCATGTGTTATCTACATATCATATTATTTTATCTATTATATCTAATGATAATTGATAATATCTTATTAAAAATATGATATACTTTTAATATTTTCTAATTCAAAATTCATTTTAGTATGCTATAATAATTACCATAATATATTACAAGCCTAACAATATAAAGTAATAAATACAATATTTTACTGAAAACATCTTCAAATCTTGATTTAACTATTAAGACTATGGAATAAGTTGAACAATCTTCATAATCAAACAAAGGGTTATTGTCATCTAGCCGCCATGAGAAACAATGAAAAAAATGGTTATCGTCATCCACAGACCACAATAATCTTATGATTTTCGGCATTGATTACAATCAATTCGATTTATTGTATCAATATAATTTGATATTTTTTTATTCTAAAATTTTTTTATTCTAAATTCAGTTTATTCGTATAGTGTCATCAGTTATCATTTAAAGAAAAAAAAAATCAAATTTTAAAAATTATATTTTACAAAAAAAATTCTTAATATTGTGCAACCTTTCTTTTTGTTTTTTCTTTTAGTTTTTGTCTAACCGACGACGGTATTAATTTTAATGTTGGTTGTCGACTAGCGTTGATTATTAATTATCTTATTTTTTATACCATGTTCATTATTTTTTTTTGAGTTTTTTTTTTCGATTTTAAATAAAAATATGTTCTTGTGACAAACTTTTTCATGATTTTTGTGGCTTTTGATATGTTTTCACGAGCCTTTAGAATGAGGAGAGTTTATCAAGTGTTGCTTTAATATTTAAATGATGAGATTACTTTATATTTGCTTTAGTACATGAGACTTTTTAAAGGTATTTGAATGATGAGATAATATGATTTTATATTTACTTTAGTACATGAGACTTTTTAAAGGTAAGGGTGTTGATGAGAATGGATGTGAGATCGAGTAACAAATAAATTGACGTTATTTTTCGTTGGGAAAAAACTTGGAAAAATTGAATTGATTTATTAAGTGAAGAGTGGTGGCGGCGGCGAAAATTAGGCGGTGTTGAAGAGTGAAGGAACTGCCATGGAATTTTTTTAATTATTAACTTAAACTTCCATTAATCGGTAATATAAGAAATTAAAGTAATTATTTTTAAATCAATGACCAAATTCGAATTAACTAAAAATATAAGTGGCGATCCGTATAATGTCTTTTTTATTGAAGAGGACAGAGTCCGAGTCAGGGTTAGAACTCAGACGAATGTCAATTCAATTATCAACGCAATTGTTAATCAGTATTTTGTCATTCAATTCAACGATAATGTAAAAACACCAAACCCACCTTATGTCATTTATTCAGACAATTCCAAAGTCAGTAAAACTAGCAGAAATTTGGATCATAAGAAGAATAGAAAAGAAAGAAAGCAAGAATGAAGTTTAACTAATAAAATCCAAATTTTATTCATACTTTTAAGTAATAAAAATAATTATTTAATTTTGATTATTAACATTTTATAAATGTTTTATGCAGTCATATCCTATAAAAGCAGAAAAAAATAAAAATAACTTGAAAATATGATTATATTCATTCTTAAGATGTTTAAGAGGGTTTGACTTAGTGGATCAAATACGATAGAGTTCTTAAGTTATATTCATTCTTAACAATAACCCAAAAGTAAATTACTCCATTTTCTTTCTCCTATTTTCTTTTTCCTAATCAAAGTCACTTCACTAGTCTCATGAGTTTAGTCCTTATATATAGTAGTGTATGATACATTAAGGTCCTCATAATTTTGTTTAGGGATGGTCCAAGATAGAATAGTAATTCTAGTGAACCAAACATGCTGTTACAGCAACTCCTGTACTAATAGAAAGTCAATTTAGGTGAAAATTTTGATATTCGCAAAAGCAAGATAAAGGATGGCAGTAATATAAAAGAAATTTTCTAATTATTCAAGAAGATTCAATCATTTTTTTGAACTGTTTGGAAGCATAAAAGAATTGTCTACCGGGGATCATGAAGCGTGTTACCGCTCAGGCTACCTTGGCGGTGTTTGATGAGAGATCCCTTCGAAGCCAGAAGTTAACAAGGAAGGAATCTAAGATAATCTGCAAAACAGTATTTCACTAAACGTTGAAAACAATGGCAGTCACAGCAAGAGAAGTTGATACATGATTGATCATAACCTGAATTAAACGAGCAGCAACACATGGTAGAACCAGTAAACCAGATTCACCAAATGCACCACCAAGCTGCTCCACAACTGCCACCATTACAGGCAAAGTTTTCTACAAAAAAGGGGAAAAAAGAATGTACATTTCAAGATTAAACAATTAAAGAAAGTTTACCAAGCAGATGGTAAAACTGTGTAAAACATAGCTAGTTCAAGATAGCCACCTGGCTTGCAACAAGCAACGTGGCTATGGCATTTTCTTTCTCGGAAAAAATTGATTTATCACCACCAGAGACAGCTGACAGGCTCCTTATAGCGAGTGTGTTAAAAGCTAACAAAACGAGGTGTAAAAGCCTGGAACAAATTATGGAATTCATTCTTGAGAAGATACAACCCCGGCAGAGTGTATAAGATACGTTTAAATTTTGGAAATATTGTGGGCGATGAAAAAAATTGAAAAATAAGGGTGTTTGAGAATTATTTTGGGATCTAGGTCATTTGTTACAGTGCACGTGGAACTCGTTATAGGGGGTGACGAGTTCCATAAAATATATTAAGAAAATAGAACTCTTCATATGGAATGGAACAAAATTGTATGAAGTTTATCACCCCCTCATGGCGAGTTCTAAATTTTAATATATTTTATGAAATTCGTCACCCTTGTGACAAGTTCCACGTGCACGGTAGCAAATGGCCTAAATCCCAAAATATTTCTCAAACACCCCTATTTTTCAAAACAAAAAAAAAAATACACATGGATTATTTAGCCAACGAAGCCTATAAGATACAATCAATACGAAAATTATGCATATTAGATCCATTTTTTTGTTGCTTTTTACCAAACCTAAATAGAATACGCAGCACTTGTATGATTGGCTATAACAAACTGGAAAAAGCAATAGATTGGTAAACCCAGGTCAATAAATCCATGTCAATAAAATTATGCATATTAGTTATTATACGAGTTGCTATTGGTAAACCCAGGTCAATAAATCTACTAGTATGATCTAGGTCAATACTAAAAAGCTCAAAACTACAGGAAGAATTCTTGTTAACGAAACACCAAGGAATGAAGAATGAACATACGTTCCCATCCCAATAGCTACAACAAAAGCTGCAGGTTTAACCATCAGTAGTAGTGACCTTGACCTGCTCACTTGCATCCAAGGCACCTGCAATCATCATCGTTATGAAAAATAAGTTAACCAAATGACATGTATGTATGTAACCTTAAATAGTGTCCTTAGGACACTTGTAAAAAGAATCCTTTAAGATAAGTGGAATGACACAAGAAATTTTTTGAAAATCTTGTACTTGACATAATATCAAAACAGGCCTGAAGTCTGCTAGTAATATTATCACATCATGTGTAAGTGAAATCAATACACAGGCACAAGGAGCGTAGCCACTTTAGAACCATAACTTCTTTATTTTGTTGGATACTAAGCTGTATGTTGTAGCATATTATTGTTCTAAAGTTTAGCACAAACATATGGCTTGGTATCCAACAAACCCCACATCGCAACAATGACATGCAAAATTGCCTTTGAAATGATACAATTCAAATAACTTCGTTTCTGTATAGTTTTATCTGTAAGTAAACAAAAACAACACAATGAATCAACAAAAGCTCAGGTTACTATTCAATTCAAAAAGGTGTTGACCAAGACAACATCCTGCCCTGTATTGTTTGTTTATAGTTGGGACAAGAGCTATAAATGAATCAACAAAAGCTCAGGTTACTATTCAATTCAAAAAGATGTTGACCAAGACAACATCCTGCCCTGAATTGTTTGTTTATGGTCGGGACAAGGGCCATAACAAGGAAACACACATGACAAGTGTAATTTATGAATTTGAATGTTTTGAAGCTATTCACAGACATAAATTAAAAGATTCAAAGTTCCAAATTTCAGTATCGAGAACAGAATGTAGAAATTGTAACAGAACTTCCGAACTGCCAATATAAAATTCAAAGGAAAAGAGAAACTGTTTCATCACAATGGAAGTTAAAATTACTTGATAATAGAACATTATATGTAAATTAGAACAGGAAAGATGAAATTCAGGCCTTACTAAGCTTAGGAATACTGCACTGATCTTCGAAAAAAGTTTACGATTATGGTCAACATAGTTTGCCAACCCTGTATTACACATTTACTCATGTTTCAGACTGAGTTAGTAAATAACATGACTGAGAACTTCCTAGTTGGTGCAGTATGTGAAACAAAAACTCCATAGTATTCTGGTTGCCAGTGATAAAGCAGCAACAGCAGATCAATGACAGTTTTTGCTGCGCAGTATACTGATTTTGATGCTTGGAAGAAAATAAAAGAATGCTGGAGATTGGGAATGTGAAACTATGAAACCCAAAGATCAATAACCTTTATTCTTTCTTTAAAATAATCTTATAGATTCTTAAGTAGTGATGGGATCCCATTTTTTGTCAACAGAATTTGAATCTTGATGGTTCTGAAAACCTAACCTTTTGCATTTCAATTTTTACATTCTGGACAAGATGCATATCAAATAAGGAACTTATACCAGAATTATAGGTATCAAGAAGTACTGACAACAATAGTTGCTAGCTTAACAAAAAGACAACCTCTATAGTAGCTATTTATGTCAATCAGCCGTTCTATTATTTCATGCTATTGAAACATTATGATATGAGGGAGGTGTCAAAGGTGGTGCATTAGCATCAACATGGATACCTTGACATAAATGTTATGCAGAACCTGATTACAAGGAAAGGGGGGGGGGGGGGGGAATCCCATGCCTGGGAGGCTCACCTCTGAAAGATTCTCTTAAAACCTGTAATTGGGCAGCAAACATTACAGTTAGAAAACAATAAATGCCTAAAGAAAATTTATTCTAATACAATTTGGAGGTTCTGTTTTTATAGCATTAACTTCTCCATTCTTGGATAAACAGCATTTTTATACATTGCTAGATAATCATTTTTAAAAACACAAGCAACAACTTCTTTCTAAAGTAGTGATGCCAGAAGAATTTTCTTCCTTTGAGGAAATACTCAATGGAAATATTACCTTCCCCAAGATCAGAGGAAGCAAAAGTGTGAGAAGAAGACTTCTAAGCAGTTCTGTAGTAGGAACATGCACACCAACTCCATCAGCTATGAATATTGAGATGGAAAATGGAATCTGAAAATCATATAATCCGTAAAATTCAATAAAATCTATCATGCACTTAACACCAACAATAACGCATAAAATTCATCATCGTCGCCATTATAAGACGCATACAATCACACCTTGCTCAGTGAGCACATTTTTTTGTCTTGAACAATATAATGGTCCCAATGTCTAAAGTGCACTTTGCACCCTTGTCAATCCAGATCTTACTGATATTTTTTCTCAATAGTTTAGCTCTAATATGAAAGACACCCGTGTTACTTTAACTGATGGTAAATGATAATACTTCTAGACATTACAAAATTCACTTGATATAACTAGAAATATATTTGCTTTGCCATTACATTTTTCCACCGTATTTCTCCTAAATAAATGACACACACACATATAACTACATGTATATATATATAATTGGGTAATTGATGCATTCAAATTATGCATGGAAAGGACACATCAGACAATTTGATCAACATCAATAGATCAGAACAATAAAATACCATAGAGACATAGATAACTCTAACAATCAGCATATCATCACTGGCAAAAATTCCATCAAGATTTAAAAGGGGAGCAAGGTTATATTAAACATCCAATCAATTCCAGGAGAAAAGTTTAAAATTTAACATGAAATAAACCATAAAACTTTTTGATATGTAACTTACAATCAAGATTCCCAACATATTAGATACCACTGTCATTGCAAGAGCGATTGCCGTGTTCCCTCCAGCAAGCTGTGTATAAAAAATTAAGGCATGTTCCAAAAACAAAGATGAAGACATCAAGGAATTGGTTTAGACGACAAAGAGTAATCTGTATGCCTGGGTAAGTGCAACTCCGCTTGATAATGTTGTTGGCATACAGGTAAATATAGCAAGTCCTGTAGTTAAAACAAAACAAAAGATTAACTTATAATATACCAAAAATTCAACATAATCTTTTCCCACTTTTGTACATTTCATTGTTGAATTGTGCGGCATCCTTGGAACAATCCACCAACTTTCACGGTACTTTAAGAGCACGAAGACATAAAAAGGATGAGACCTTATCCATTTTTCCTTCCTTATTGGGCTATACTAGAATCGTTTCTTAAGCCTATGAAGAAAGTATATAGCTCCTCTGGAATGGATTGTGGACCTAAAGGTTTCTAACCCAAGTTAGAAATACAAAGGAAAAGTGTTATCTTTTTGGCATTGTTCTTTTTCTTCCATAGAGCTATAGCTATACAACAATCTGGATTCTGGATTCCACGATCCAGAATGCAATTCTGTATCTGAAATTCTGATTCTTGGGTTTGCAAAGGCCTTCATGTTGAAGTTGGCTGTTGATTAATATTATTACAAACTGAACGAGTCTTGAGTTTTCTATGCTTTTTATATTCAACTTGGGTGTCTGCAGCAATTGCCAAAAGCCAACAAAAGTAAGGGCAATAAAGTCAACCCTGAGTTTCTTTTTCATATTCTTATGTTTTTTCTTCGCAATAGTAAGTTCATCTATACCTCAAATTAGTTTGAACTTTGAAGTTGCTCAAGGTTAATATCAAAGTATTTACAGTTCCCTAACAAAAATATTAAAAGTGGCAAGACTAAGAGAAGTATCGTCAAAAGCAGTAAACTTAATTCAGCAGCAGTTATAAAAAGTAGTCAGATCCTCAACAACGCTGCCACATGCATGAATAAAAAAAACTAAATGGATAATTCCTAAATGCCCCTCCCCCCCAAAACAAAAAAGAGAGAAGGAATCCAGAATGTAATCCAGTAGAATGAAATCATCATGTACAAAAAAAATGGGCTTGTTATCAAAGGAACTGAACTTGATGGCCACTAGACATCACCAACTAGAAAGATTCGCAACCATTAGTATTGAGGGAAAAAATTAGACCTTTTGCAAACTTACAAACAGATAAGAATGACAGACATCAGACATGTTAAGTAATTAATGTTCTCAACTTCATTTTTTTTTCAAATGATAAAATTAAGAAAGAAATCACCCTTGAACAAGATATAAGATGAAGTTCTATTATCAAAATTCAAACCTGTTACAAACTCCTGAGGTTGAAGCGGAATAAGCAGTATAAGCCTTGAAAAGTATGGAGTAAACAATAGGATGGAGCACTACAGTAATAGAAGGAAATAATTATTTGAACTGTTTTTCATTTTCTTCTTTTTCTTTTGGAGAGCAAAAAGAAAAGAACTGAACTTGCTCCTTTAATTAATGCTACATTATAGTGCAGAACATTGAAATAAAACCTCCCAACAAAAGAGAAGTGCAACTTTTTAGCCCATTCTAGAACACTGAGGAAGCTCCAAGTTAAAGCAGTTTTTCTCAACTAAAGCAGCTTTAAGTGGTTAGTGTAGATAATGAGTTTCCCCTCAGAGTTCTGACTCTCTTCCCTTTATTTTTATCACTCACACAGACAAAGGAATCTATTCTTTCCTTTGATTTTCATTTTTTCGCGCCATTTCCTTTTATCTGAAACACAGTGTAGATGATGTAGTAACTCAAATTAAAAATCAGAAATCTGGTCTAATTGACATAGATAATTGCACAGAATCCCCCCATCAAAATAATAATAATAATAATATACATGAAAGAGAGAAGAGCGAGACACAAAATGAGAAATGAACCTACAAAATGAACAATGGAACATAAGAAATTTGAGGTCATACTAGCCCAAAAAGTCCTACGTGCCATGCTTTGGCAGCAGCACCAATTGCATCACTGCGTAGAGTCAAACCTGCACAATTGGTGTGTAACCCCCTAGACCCGGCCTATGCGTTTCGACTAAGTCTAGTGGATCACATTATGATTATTAAAGACATTTTTTCGAAACCGTTATTCCATCAATATAAAATCACATTATAAATAACATGAAATTATAAACAAATTATACTATCAAAATCCAACTCGTAAATATAGTACCAATAAATAATAATTTAATTTAAAACATGTCTTCAAATTCAATATCACAATAAACCGAGCAGTATTAGCAAAAGAGTTATCATTATAAAATCCGATATTTTAAAATAAGGTCCATGTCACCAAAATAAAGTCAACTTGCCAGATAAAAACATTACAATTTGATTTACTTCAAGAGATATGTTGATCCTCCAAGTGCTCGAACCAAGGTATCTAACCAACAGTATCTGAAAGGGGAAAACATTTTCAAAAGGTGAGTTAGGCTCAGTGTGTCCCAACATTTCCATAAAATCACAATAGGTACAAATCATAGTCCAGTAATCTCATAAATTCGTAAAAGAGTTTAACTTTTTGAAAATCATAGTTTAAACCCTTTTCTGGTACACCATCAGTAGTTCCCAAAAGTATTTTCCATATAGCTTACTTTATGCACATAGCAAAAAGAAAGCCGACTTAAGGATAGGCTATGAAGCTTGTATCCTTAAGCCCAAGTCAATAAGTCCATATAGCTTACCCTAAGCACACAGCAAAGGAAAGCCGACCTAATGAAACATCTTGGGGCCCTCAAGAGTCACATTAGGCCCAGTTAGCTTGATCAGAGCTATTCCATCGTATTTCAATTCCAAAATTCAATTGCACCGTGACATAAATTCCATAAATCCACAAACATGGTAATCATATACCATTTCAAAACAAAAATTAGATAGCAGCCATATTCCATAAATTGTCACATTAAATTGGTGCATCCATAAAACAATAGCCAATGAATTCGGTGTACCACATATTAAAACCAATAAAACAGTTCAATAATAAGTAGGGAACACACCTCGACAATAGGTTCAAATAGCAAATTTACTGATTGCTGGTTTCACCACGCTCTGCTACAATTTTCGAACGGGTGAATACTGGCACACGTGGTTTAACTGATCTAGAAGAGCTGGGTCGAGCTGTCGAACGATCCGGAGAGTCTCTTGTACCTTCAAACAATAATAATCTATCAGTCCCAAATCCTATTTAATTGTTCAAAGCTAGTCTTCTTAAGTATATAAGCATTTTTCGAGTTTGACTATCAATTTGGGGTATTTCGAGTCTGAATTTGGCCAAACGGATTGCGGAAACGGAATCAGGACGTCGAAAAATATAAAGTATGACTTTTCGAAAATTCAGATTCTTGGTCAAAGTCAACCACTTTGACCGTCGATTTGGAGACCTTCGGGTTTGAATTTGGCGAAACGGACTGCGGAAACGGATTTGGCACGTCGAAAACTATCAGGATAGGTATACTCGGAAAAGATTTACGGTCGTTTAAGGGTCGGTCAAAGCCATTTTAAGTTTTAGTCAAAGAAAGTCAACGGTCAACGGTCGGGTCAACGGTCGGGTCGGGTCAACCCGGTTCAGACCGGTCAAACCGGTTCAAAACTGGTCAAATCGGTTTTCCAGCAGCTCACTCTCCCTGCGGCGGCGCGTGCGGCGCGTGAACAGTGCCACGGTGTCGGAAAATTCCCGGAAAAATTTCTAAAAATTATTTTGAGCGATTTCGAGATACTTACAACGATCGGTTCAAATTTTTGAACGGCGAAGAGCTCGTATTTCAACTCGGCCAAATCTTTGATTGCTCCACCTCCTCACGCGCCGCCGTCGACGGCGAACAAGGTTGACACCGGCGGACTCGCAACGACACAAGGAACACGATGGTGCAGGAGGTGTCGTAAACGGAACAACGATTGGCGGTGAATTTAAGTTTTTCCCGGCGATAGAGCTAAAAAAAACGACGATGCTTTGACTGAAAATTCCCGACGTTTGGCAGCGTTTCACTTCAATTAATTTGAAGGGTTTGTTCCTCGCTTGATGATGAACACAACGGTTGTTTCAATTTTACGATTGGACGTCGAACGGCGTCGGAATCGGGCTTGGAAGTAAGGGTACGAGAGAAGGAAAATTGAGCAAATTCTCAATTGTGTTTTCTGATTTACAATCAGAAACCACGCTTAAATTATAAGCCTGCCGACACTCCTTGGAGGAATTCAGGGCTTGGTCCCTGAATTTCCTTCAACTTATAAAATGGCCTATAACTTTTCATAAATTTTAGTTCAGTCATTAAATTTCACCAATTTTCACAATTAACGTCCAATTTCAATTAAATATTATTTTGTAAATATTCGGGTTGTTACATGGTGGCTTATAAGGGATGTGTATCATAGAACAATATCTTACCATGAGACAGAAAGCAGCAATGCTAAAATCTTACCTGAAACAACAAATATACCAAATGTGCTAAATTTTGACAAATGATATTTATCGGCAAGACAGCCAAGGGTAGGATTTGCAAGTCCAAATGCTACTCCACTAGTAAGTGCTGCATGTAACATAACAAACACAACCAAATTCTTGTTATTTTGGAGAATGAAAATATCATCTCACAAAAAGAAGTTATTAGAAAAACAATTTTTAAAGCCAAGGAAAATTTTCACGATTATAGGAAAAGAAAAAACTTAACATATTCGCATATTCCTCTTTCGGTTCAAGTCACTTTTCAGTAACACGAATCATCACCAGCCATTAGCAGGAACGAGAAGGTCATATTTTAATCTACCTACTAGAGTAAGTACTGGAGGCGTTATTACTAAATAGTGAGGATTGGTTCAAGTTTTCTTTTAGATCATATAATGAGCAAAAATTTCTTCCCCGAGGTAATAAAACTAGGGGAAACACACATGATAAGTTGCCAATGAACAAAAACTATAAAAACATTGCCAACGGACAAAAATGAAAATGTAAGACAAAAAATGAGAAATAATATTATAAAATGCAAAATCGAAGCACTAACATTGCCAATAAAAAGTAAAAATTCATTACCTAGGGGAAGGAAATTATTGGAAGTAAAATTTATCAAAGGCTTTGTCCAATTTAATCCATTAGCTAAATCTGAACCATGAATCTGCGACTCAATTCAAACTTCGTAAGTTTCAAAAGGATAAAACGTGAAAAGAAATAGTGAAAGTGAGAGTATAAGCTTCATTTCTAAGGGAACCTCGTCGGACGGTTTACAGGATCTGATGAGTGTTGAAATGGAACGATAAGGACGGTTCCGGCGAGGAAACGGCGTGTTGACGGCGGCAAGAGGCGTCAAAATAAGGGATTGAATGGTTCCCGCCATAGATCTCTCAAACAATATCCGGAAATTGTGGTGCTTCAACTCTCCGGTCAACGACTGTAAATTCTTTCTCCCTAGGAAGTAACACAAATTTCATTTTTAAAATAAATAAATAAATAAAAATAACTAATGGTCCGCTTACCCTTGGGTTCAGGTTCAAAAAATGTTTTAAATTTGGTTCAGCCCACCATGACGGTTAGCTTTGTTTATACGTCATAAAATATAAAAACAAAAACTGTATTAATATTTCTATAATGAAACTTAAATAAAATTATATATCTTATTTGATTTAAAATTTGAGTATTTAAATTTTAAAAATATTATATCCCAAGCTTAACTAATATGATATGTATATTCCAAAAAACTAATAAGAAATAATTTTATAAGTAAGTTAAATCATTGAATCTTATTTATTGATTTGTTATAGAGAAAATCGCCTCAGTGACCAAAAATGCCTTATAATATACGATTTTAACCAACTTTTTTTGGATTTGCCAAAATGACCAACAAAATCGCAACGCGAAATAAAAATCGCAACGCGATCCCCAGAATCGCAAATCAGTTTCCAAAATCGCAACGCGATTCTTGAAAATCGCAATGCGATAGTACAAATTCGCATTGCGATTTTCCAGAATCGCAACGCGAATATGAAAATCGCAACGCGAACACATAAATCGCAACGCGTAGTTGTAAATCGCAACGTGTATCCGTAAATCGCAACGCGTATCCGTAAATCGCAATGCGTATCCGTATATCGCAACGCGTATCCGTAAATCGCAACGACAATACGTAAAATCGCAACGCGTATCCGTAAATCGCAACGCGATTTTTAAAGCGCCATTATAATCGCTACGCGTATTTTATTTTCAAATTACAAAAACGAATATTAAGACAAAATCCCGTAATCGCAACTCATAACCTAAAACCTAAAATCACAACTCAGTCCCATCTCCATCTCTCACTCTCTACGGCGAAATCCATCCCCATCTCCGAAGATTTCCGTCCCCACCTCCGGCGAAATCCCTCACAACCATTCACGGTCAGAAATCCCTCACAATATTCAGAAATGGAAAATCAACCTCCGAGGGTTAGTTTTTTTAATTATTTTTATTTTGAAATTTTTGCATTATTGTAGGTTTTTCATATTGAAACTGATGATAAGTTTACTGGTCATTTCAATAATAGATTAACCATTTCACTTATATTTCATTTCGCGTTACGATTCTCTCGTTGCGATTTTCATTTCGCGTTGCTATTCTCTCGTTGCGATTTTCAAGTTAGTATTTGTCTTTGTCTTTGTTCTGTCTTTTGGTTGAAGTAATGCAATCCATTCAAGTTTCAATTTGCAGAAGAGTCGCAACGAGATAAATGAAAATCGCAACGTGAAAATCACTATCTGCAACGAGAAAAATGAAAATCGCAACGAGAGAATCGCAACGCGAAATGAAAATCGCAACGAGAGAATCGCAACGCGAAACCAAAATCGCATTGCGATTTTCATTTCGCGTTGCGATTCTCTCGTTGCGATTTTCATTTCGCGTTGCGATTCTCTCGTTGCGATTTTCATTTCTCTCATTGCGACAGTCATTCTCTCGTTGCGATTTTCATTTCAACCAAAGACAAAACAGTGTTGCAAATTTTAGTTTCAAGAATAAACTACTACTTTTTATGTTTATTGTTTTTGGTATATCTTCACAGTGTAGTTTTTGGTATATCTAACTTGGTATGTTTATTGTTTTTGTAGAAATTTTTTTCGGCTTCATTGACATTAAGGAATAAAGTTAGCCTAGCCACTACAATTGCTTCGAAGCTTTCACCTGCACAAAGACAATTGTTTGAGGAAACCTGCTTCGGGCCATGGCTGAGAGTACAGCATTCGGGTGGAGATGCTAATTTGACCCATTTGTGGCTTCAGACCATGACATCAAATCTACCCGACAGTATACAACGTGGTGAGGAAGAGATATGGTTTCATTTTCCACCAGCGTATACTTGTTTTGGGCGGAAGGAGTTCTGCTTAATCACTGGTCTACGATTCGGACACGATGATGTAGGCCGGTACACTCGTCATATCGCCCGCCCATCATGGTTATCCCGGGTTTTTCCGGATGAGTCAATGGAGAAGCCGAACCTACACGTCGACGACCTGAAGAAATTGTTTAATAAGAAAGCTGGTTTCACTCGGATGGATGACGTCGATGTTGTCCGAGTATGCCTTCTACTACTTGTGTATGCCGGCTTTTTAGGCAGAGAGGCCAGACAACCTATTCCTCGGGAGCTAATAATATTGGTAGAGGACCTGAATGCATGGAATCTGTTTCCGTGGGGTTCGTATATATGGAAAGCTACCTGGACTAAGTTGTCTACTGCCTTTGATGACCGCAAAAGTTTGCGTGGCGATGGGTCGAAATACACTTTGTCAGGCTTTGTTTGGGCCTTTAAGGTAAGAATTTCTATATAATGTTTCTAAAATTATAATTAATTATTTAACAATTACTAATTTTGTTATTATATTGTTTGTAGATTTGGATATTCGAGGCTTTCCCCAGCATGCGTACATATGCAATAAAAACGTCAAATGATATTCCCAGGGCTATTTCCTGGAAGAGGAAAAATCTGTTGGATTGGGAAGACTTAATACCATATGCGACAATAAATAATGTAAGTTAACACAAATACTTTCATATAATATATAAACAAGTTATTAATAGTAGACGTTTAACTTTGTTTGAGTTTTTATATTGTTAGGAGGCCAACATTCCATTACAAAGACTGACACCCACGGAGGAAGAGCTTGCCACTGATTGGTGGCAAGCTAGTCAGAGTTTTTTGATGGCACGGATGATGAGCAGCATCCACTTCCTCCAATTCGAGAGCCATCACCTCACCCAGAGCCATCACCCGATCGACCCGACTATACACCTCTAGAACGAGAGCCATCACCTATCCCGTCACATCATCGAGCCTCTTCTCCACCATCACCTCATGATAGGCGACCGGTAAAGAGGCCACGACATTTATCTCCTTGTTCTCCACCTCCACGGGATGAGTTACGTGATGAGGTCAATGCCTTGCGTGAGGAGATCGGTACTCTACGCGATAGCGATGGTGCATGGCGTGTGGAGGTGTCAACTTTACGTGGTGAGGTTGCCGCTCTACGTGAGATGATAGTATCGTTGCAGAATGAGGTTCATACTCTACGCAACGAGGTAAGTTTAAGATTTTCCATATTTAACTTAATGATAAATTTACTCGTAATTTCACTTAGATTAGCCATTTCACTTAGATTGCTTAGTAAATTTATTCGGTTGCTGCCAATTCTGCTAAACTGTGTATTCTTTAACACTGTGAAATTGTATTTGTCTTTGTTTTGTCTTTTGGTTGAAAGTAAATTTGTTCGGTTGCTGCCAATTCTGCTAAACTGTGTATTCTTTAACACTGTGAAATAGTATTTGTCTTTGTTTTGTCTTTTGGTTGAAAGTAAATTTGTTCGGTTGCTGCCAATTCTGCTAAACTGTGTATTCTTTAACACTGTGAAATAGTATTTGTCTTTGTTTTGTCTTTTGGTTGAAAGTAAATTTGTTCGGTTGCTGCCAATTCTGCTAAACTAATACCCTGAAGTCAGTATTTGTCTTTGTTTTGTCTATTGGTTGAAGTAATGCAATCCATTCAAGTTTCAATTTGCAGAAGAAGAAATAGTTTACTTTCGTAACACGAAACTTAAAATCGCAACGAGAGAATCGCAACGCGAAATGAAAATCGCAACGACAGAATCGCAACGCGAAACCAAAATCGCATTGCGATTTTCATTTCGCGTTGCGATTCTCTCGTTGCGATTTTCATTTCGCATTGCGATTCTGTCGTTGCGATTTTCATTTCGCGTTGCGATTTTGGTTTCTCGTTGCGATTCTCATTTCGCGTTGCGATTTTAAGTTTCGTGTTGCGAAAGTAAACTATTTCTTCTTCTGCAAATTGAAACTTGAATGGATTGCATTACTTCAACCAATAGACAAAACAAAGACAAATACTAACTTCAGGGTATTAGTTTGAAACATATTTTTCTTTGTTATCTGATGCATTTTGTGAACTATGATAGAATAATGACTTGGGTGAATACAATGCAAGTTTGAAACATATTTGTCTTTATTTTCACTGTTTAAATATCATGTCTGTTTATTTACTGATTTTTGTATTTAATTATTTAGCGGCCCGATAGAGTGGATGCTTTACGTCGGGTTATGCTTGCATGACGGAGTTCACGCATCAGACAGCGTGCACGTGCTATTAAGTCTCCGTACACCCCAATAGTGCGAAGACACCGCAAGAAGAAGCCCGACTCGCCTGTCATCCCTCAAGAGTCCACTCCTATCGTTGAAGAGGCCCCCCTATCATTCCTCGAGAGTCCCCTCCCACCGTTCAAGAGGCCACTGTCATCATTGAAGAGGTTCCTCCCACCATTCAAGAGCCCGATTCACATGGCGTCATATATAGGCTTCTTGAGAAACCCTCTGACGTGCCGGACATAATGGATGAGAGTTGGCTCTCGTATAAGTTACCGGCCAGTACCATTCTGGTATCGGAAGTGGAGAGGAGACAACTACCAGACACAATTCTGGATAACACCCTTTGGGCTAAGACCGCAGTTGATTTTTATCTACATGAGCGGAGCCAGGGGTGTTTCACTGACATATGCAAGCTCACCGATGATATCTATTTGTTGCTTGATCGGTCTTGGTGGGGCGTATTATTAGGGGTCGAAGACAATGGCTATTTCGATGGGGGGGTAAGTCTTATATTTTTCTTATATTTCAATTTGATTAATTTTTTTTTAAATTTATGTAAGTCACTAATATATGTCTTTTTTTGTAAAACAGCATATCGATGCGTGGGTGACACGTCTTCTAATAATAAGAAAACTTAAGAAAAATAAAAATACGATATACAATTATGCCGACGTCTTTTAACGCCGTTCACTTGAAGAATGCACGAGATGAATCATTTGATTTGGGCAATGGACAAGCTAAACTTTATCCTGCATGGTGGGAGGTCGATAAGGTTAGTATTTATTTTAGATTGAGTTTAAAGGTTTTATAAA